AGACACCTGGCTTTTAAGGGCTTGTTTGCCTCGTGTCCTGTGTGTCCAAACCCACTGTTCTTCTCTAACTAGTGCTGTGTGTTTCCGCGCGGCCCCAGCGTCGCTTGGGACGTGCACACACACAGCAGGCGCGCCAGGAAGGTATGTGGATTTGTACCTAGAACCCTAATCGTCATAGGAAGGGGGGGACTTGCAGGTGCGGTTCATGTGACAGAGGAGGAAACAGACCTTGAAAGGTACTGCGATTGGGCATCCTAAACTCTTCTCTCTGGGTCTCAGTTTCCTCATCTGTCAAATGAGGGGAAGGTGGCCTGACCCTGGGACTGCCTCCCCCCGACTGACACAGACCCCCCTCATTTGCCATTTATTACAACTGCACAGACTGGCCGGAACACTTCAGCCCACATGTGGGTTTTCTGGTTGGGGTGGAGCGGAGGGTTCTATCCCCCTGGGCTGCCCTGGGCTCCTGTGATGTTTGGGGCTCTATTGTCCTGTCCCATCTCTGAGAAACATTTACAAAAGCAGCACTGTTTTCTCCCTTTTCCGGTCGCAGGCCCTTTCCCTACCCCCTGCCAAGGGCCACTTTCTGTTACTACTGACTGTCCTCACTGGAGGGGACTTTTTGAGAATCAAACACCCAGTCCTTAGGGGAGCCTCAGGCAGGCCTGGATCAAGGCATGGGGCCAGTTGATGGTTTCAGAGGGTGTGGCTGGGGAAGGGAAGGGGCAGGCTGAGGGGAGGGTGCAGAGAGGCCCCCCACCCTGGTTTTGTTGGAGGGTAGAGCAACCAGTGTCCCTGCGCCATCAGCCTTCTTACCATGGTGTTGTGTTTTGTTTTTTTTTTTAATGTTTTATTTATTTCTGAGAGAGAGAGACAGCGTGAGCAGGGGAGGATCAGAGAGAGGGAGTCACAGAATCTGAAACAGGCTCCAGGCTCCGAGCTAGCTGTCAGCACAGAGCCCGACGCGGGGCTCGAACCCATGGACCGTGAGATCATGACCTGAGCCGAAGTTGGAGGCTTAACCAACTGAGCCACCCAGACGCCCGTTACCATGGTGTTTTGAGCACTCAGTGACAGTAGCTATGACAGCACTCTGTTTTAGGAAAATTACTTTGGCAGCTGGATCCAGGAAGAGAAAGATTGACTAGTTGTGATTGTTATCTAGGCAGGAGGTTCGTTCATTCATTCGTTCATTCATTCATGCATGTGTCCATCCAATATTTATTAAGTTATTTATTAAGTGTGTCAGGCAGAGTTGTAGGTGCTTTGGATGCAGTGGTGGCAAAAACTGAAAAAGTCCTTGGGAGCTTATGAACAAGAAGAGAGACACACAAAATAGACAGAAGCATGTCAGATAATGAGTTTTGCTTCTGGAAATGTCAGTGTAGTTGGTACCAGTCTAGCTCTCTGGTCAGGGATACTTAGAGACAAAGGATATAATATAAAACACAGTGGTTTGAGAGCAATTTAAAACAGGCAGATCCTGGGGAGAAAACAATCCCCAAAAGAAAAGAAGCAATGAAGTGAGAGGCTTATTTAAGCAGCGTGTCTGTCTCGTCTCTTTCTCCCACTGAGAGCACTGCCCTGTTTGAGGACCTCAGAGAGCAAGTGGCAGTTTTACTGTTTGGGGCTACCAGAAGCTCCTAAACTGTGCATGGGCAGCACAAGGCATTAGGGAACCCACCAAGAAATAGCAGCTGAGAGCCAGAGGTTTCAGATGCTGCCTGGTGCTGGGGGGACAGAATTTGGAATTCAAGTTCCACGAAGTTAGAGGGGCTTGGTAATTAGGTTTTCCTTTGAAACTCCAGAAGGGTCTCACCTTGTGATTAAACCCAAGGCTAACAGCCACACCCTAAGACTACGAGAAACCAAAACAACCCCACCCTGACAAAGCCTAAAGCCAAGCCTCTACAGGATCAAGATGATCCACCAGTAATTTAACTGCCTGCCAGAACAAAACTCAACATTCTTTTTAGGAAGATTAAAAAAAAAAAAAAAATCCAGACTCTCTATAACATGTCATCCACAACATTCTGTATACAGTAAGAAAGAAAAAGATCCAGGCTCTTTATAACCTTATCCACAATGTCCAGTATGTAACAAAAATTACTAGACATGCAGTCAGCTGGAAGAAGTGACCCATAATCAAGAGAAAAAATAATCATTAGACAAAGGCTCACAGAGAACCCAGATGTTGACAAAAAATCAGATAATAATAAATATTGTGAAGAGAACTACAGTCGAGCAATATGATAGAGAATAACTGAGTGGCTACTTTAGGTCAGAGGGGACTCTTTAAAGATATGACCTTTTTGAGAAGTGAAATATCAGGCAGAGGAAATCATGTAAAGACGTTGAGGCAAGAAAGTACGAAGCCTGGGGTGCCTGGCTGGCTCAGTCAGTGGAGCAGCAACTCTTGATCTCAGGGTCATGAGTTGGAGCCCCACGTTGGGTGTAGAGAGTACCTAGAAAAAATAAAACCTTTAGGGGCGTCTGGGTGGCTCAGTCAGTTAAGTGTCTGACTTCGACTCAGGTCATCTCACAGCTCGTGAGTTCAAGCCCCACATCAGGCTCTGTGCTGACAGCTCAGAGCCTGGAGCCTGTTCAAGAAAGGGCAAGGAGAGCAATGTGATTTGAGCAAGGAAGAATAGTGTGATCGAAGATCAAACTGGTAGGCAGGACCAGATCATGTAGGATCTTGTGGCTCATGGTAAGAAATTTGAATTTTATTTGAAGAATGTTGAATTCATTGCCTTTGTAGGACTTTAAGCAGGAGGGAAACTTAACTCGCGTATATTATTTTATATCTTACTACTGAGTGAGGGTGTTTGACATAGTTACAAGCCAATTGCATTTCATTTTTTCTAGCTGTGTATATGTATCCTTCTCTACTATGTTGTTGATATTTTCCTCATAATTCATCCTATTTTTTGTAGAAACTCTTTTTATATTAGGGAATAAGCTATTTGCCACCAGTTAGTTATGTATATATTTGTCATTGAAATTCTGGCTTTGTTTATTTTATTTTATTTTATTATTTTTTTTTTGCCATGGAAAAGATTATTAGGTCATTGAATACATCATTGTTTACTTTATGACCTTCAGCCCTCCAATATTATTTTTTAAAAAATTTGGAACTTACTTACATCTTTTTTTTTTTTTTAATGTTTTATTTATTTCTAGGAGAGAGAGAGAGAGACAGCGTGAGCAGGGGAGGGTCAGAGAGAGAGGGAGTCACAGACTCTGAAATAGGCTCCAGGCTCTGAGCTGGCAGTCAGCACAGAGCCCGACGCGGGTCCCGAACCCACGAACCGCGAGATCATGACCTAAGCAAAAGTCGGACGCTTAACCGACTAAGCCACCCAGGCGCCCCATTGAACTTACTTACATCTTTAAAAAATCGTTCCAGCTGGCCATGAGAATGACTTATAGAGGGATGGGATAAGACCATGGTGGAACAGAAGGAGCTTGGGGTTTGGACTCAGGAGACTGGGACCACATTTCAGCTCCTTTCTCACCAGCCTCGTGATCGGTCAAATCATTTCACTACCCTTAGTCAGTTTCTTTACCTGTAACATGGAATCATAACAATAATAAATGGCAACAACAGTAATTTACATTGCTCTTACTCTGGGCCAGACCCCGCTCCAAACACTGTACAGGTATTCTCGCATTTAACCTTTACAATAGTCTGATGAGGAAACTGAGTCAGAGAGAGGCAATGCGACTTGCCCAAGTTGCACATTAAGTGGCAGAGCTGGGATTTGAACCCTAGCAGTCAGATTCATGCTTTTAAGACCTGGAAATTATCCTGAGGGGCTAGTGGCTCATGTATGCAAACGTTCTTGGTGACAGGGATGTGCTGTGTGTGTGTTGTGTGCACGTAGGTGGTGAAACGTGGATGTCAGGCCTGGGCTTGCTTCCTGGCTGTGTGACACCTTGAGCAGGTTGCCTTTTGATGCTAAACTAATCATGATCCTCCTTCTTTTTTATTCCTGTCTCCCTCCCTGCATCCCTCCCTTCCTTCTCCCCTTCCTTCCTTCCTTCCTCCCTCCCTCCCTCCCTCCCTCTCTCTACTTTCCCTCTCAGCTTTACTGAAATACAGTTCACATCTCAAAGAACTCATCCACTTAAAATATACAATTAATTGGGTTTTACTCTAGTCACAGAATTTGGCAGCTATCATGACAATCTAATTTTAGAACATTTTCATCATCCCACTAGACCTCCCTCCCATTCCCATAACCCCCAGCCCAGCCCCAGCCCCAGGCAGCCACTATCTACTTCCCATACCTTTAAGTCTCCATTTCTTAATCTGTGAAGTCAGTGTGCTTGGGGGCAGGTTTGGTTTCACTGCCTTCCCCAGTGTCTGCACAGTGAGGTGATGGGCGAATCGATGCGGGACTGGGGGAAGCCCTCTACAGAGCTAAATGCTGCTTAAAAAATAAGCTGTGCAATGGTTCTGGGAGGAGTGAATGGTTGGATATGGATATGGAGGTGTTGGGAAGATTCTAGAAGTCAGGAAAGGAAGGAGTCAGTGAAGCTGAGGGGCGAAGGGGAAGAACAAGACCAGTTACCCCAGGCCAGAGAGACACTTTGGTGGGAAAACCACACTCTGTCACGGAGACCGGGATAAAGTTGCGACGTGCCGAGTGATGTCAGCGTGTCCGCTGCTCCTCTCAAGATCTTGGGAAAAGTAATCAGTTCCCAACTTGCCAGGTGGAGTCAGGCTTGCTTTTTGGAGGTGGGCGGAGGGCTGAGTCCTGCCTCTAGGCTGAGCATGGGGCTAGAGCAGAGGCTCGCCATGCAGCCTCGGCCTCATCTGGGCACAGGGGGACAGCATCGCCCCTCGCCCCCACCCGAAAGGGTTGGTAATGAGGACCGAGGGAAGACACACAACCCGGTGCCAGGCTCAGGGGCAGTGTCTGAAGGTGGACTGGCCATCGAGAGCCAGCCTGGAGAGCCCCTGGGGTGGCATCATGCCCTGCCTTCCCTTCCAGAATCCAATGTCTTCCTCATCTTCAGCCATGGACTGCAGGGCTGCCTGGAGGCCCAGGGTGGGCAAGTCCGAGTCTCCCCAGCCTGCAACACCAGCCTTCCCGCCCAGCGCTGGAAGTGGGTCTCCCGAAACCGGCTCTTCAACCTGGGCGCCATGCAGTGCTTGGGCACCGGCTGGCCGGGCACCAACACCACAGCCTCCCTGGGCATGTACGAATGTGACCGGGAGGCCCTGAATCTCCGCTGGCACTGTCGCACCCTGGGTGACCAGCTGTCCTTGCTCCTGGGGGGTCGCACTGGCAACACCTCCAAGGCTGGCGGCCCCGAGCGCGGTGACCAGACCCGCAGTGGCCAGTGGCGCATCTACGGCAGCGATGAGGATCTGTGCGCCCGACCCTACTATGGTGAGGGCCGCTTGCAGGGCAGGGGTGGAAGGGCAGTGTCAGGAGGGCTGGAGGACAGTGACAGGTGCAGGAGCGACAAGGCGCTAAGCCTCTGCACGCCTTTGGCAGCTGTATCTTTAATTGTGATGGGAAGCACTTGGGAATAATTAAGAATATTAACCTCAAAGCGTTCATTTTCAAGGACTTAGAAGTTAATACATGCTTGTGAAGCCCTCAAACGGTATGAAAGTGTATCACGTAAATTTAAATGCCCTTCTCCCAGGCCCACTCTTGTGGGCATACCCTAGAAGAGGGTCTGGCTCCCCATTCTGCAGGGGTGACCGGGGACCAGAGTCACCCGGTGAGGGGCCTTTTGTGGTGGACAGCTCTGTCCAGGGGGGTCCTTTTCCTGTAAGACATCCTGAGTTCTGAGATGAGACTTGTGAGGAGGGGCAGCTAGAGTTTGGAGAGGCATTAGGGACCCTGGGGGGACCCCTTCCCAGCACTGTGGGATGAGCAGGAGGACCTCTCCCGCCCAGGGAGGGCTCCTGGGCTGACCTGATGGCAGAGGGGGCCTCAGCCTTAAGCACTGCTTTGGCCTTAGCGTTGCTGCCCCATCCCTGGCTCCCTGGGGCAGGGGATTCTCCCTGAGTGGGGGAGGGAGGCGGGCAGCCTCTGGGGTCCACGCGCCAAGACACCGGCTCACCAGCTCCGTTCTGCAGAGGTCTACACCATCCAGGGGAACTCGCACGGGAAGCCATGCACCATCCCCTTCAAGTACGACAACCAGTGGTTCCACAGCTGCACCAGCACGGGCCGCGAGGATGGGCACCTGTGGTGCGCCACCACCCAGGACTACGGCAAAGACGAGCGCTGGGGCTTCTGCCCTATCAAGAGTGAGAGCAGGGTGGGGAGGGTGGGCCAGGGTGGCTCCTGGAGGGAGGCCGACCACCAGGGGCCTCAGCGTGGGTGGAAGAACTCTCCAGACTGGGGTGATAAGGTGCCCCTCCTTGTAGCGCGGAGCGGTGTGTGTGGGGTCCGCACCCCTTGAGGGACTCCCGTGTGGGACCCGTGTCCCGCTGTCATGGTGGCAGGTAACGACTGTGAGACCTTCTGGGACAAGGACCAGCTGACCGACAGCTGCTACCAGTTTAACTTCCAGTCCACGCTGTCGTGGAGGGAGGCCTGGGCCAGCTGCGAGCAGCAGGGGGCGGACCTGCTGAGCATCACTGAGATCCACGAGCAGACCTACATCAACGGTGAGGGGACAGGGCCGTCCCGGGGGGTACCTGGGCCTGGCAGCGGGGGACAGGGCAGGGTGGCAGCAGCCTGATACCTGCTGCCTGCCTTTGGAGGCCCCTGGGCCGTACCTGCTGGTGGGGCAGGGGTGCCCTTGGTGGGGGCACACAGTGAGTGGGCTGAGGGTGGGCCAGTCCCCTTCTGACCATCTCTGTCTTGCTGTCAGGGCTCCTCACTGGCTACAGCTCCACGCTGTGGATTGGCCTTAATGACCTGGACACCAGTGGAGGCTGGCAGTGGTCGGACAACTCACCCTTGAAGTACCTCAACTGGGAGAGCGGTGAGGCGTGGGGTTCGGGCGCAGGGCGGCCTGGGGACCGCACAGGCATTTGGCCTCCTGTTGATGCCTCCCCTGGAACCCTTCTCCAGGCTGGGTGGGGGAAGGGCGGTGGGGCAGCTTCCGTCCCCTGCTGGATCGGGCCCCACCCCCATCTCTGCTCCTGCCGTGGCCTTGTGTGAACCAGAACCCGATGCCCTTTCCTCAGGGCGCAGGGCTTGGGGCACAGGCTGGATTTCAGGCCCTGCCGGTTCCTTCGGCTGCACCCAAGGCACCAGCAGCCCGGCCAGGGAGGCCTCGGGGGACGGTCACCAGTGCTGGGAAGAGGGTTTGGGACCACTTGGTGGGGGGTGGGGGGGCGCGAGGTGAGAGGCAGCGAGGGGCCCAAGGGAGCAAGCAGGAGGCGGTGAGAAGGGCCCAGGGGCCCGGGTGTGAGTATCTCTCTCCCGGGCTGCTGGTGCCCTGCCCTCCCCGCAGATCAGCCGGACAACCCGAGTGAGGAGAACTGCGGGGTGATCCGCACCGAGTCCTCGGGCGGCTGGCAGAACCGAGACTGCAGCATCGCGCTGCCCTACGTGTGCAAGAAGAAGCCTAACGCCACTGCCGAGCGCCCACCCCCCGGTGAGCGGAGGTCTGGCTCGGGGCTGGGAGGGGCCGGTTGGGCCGGACTCCAAGCCTCTCTGTGCTGATGGGCAAACCCGAATGTGGTTAAATGCTGGTAATCCCCACTGTCCTTGTAGCAGTCACACTCAGCTGGAGGTGACAGACATCTCAACACTCCATCAGGATACCCTGAGTTATGTACCGCTATAAAAATATGTGTGATAGATGTTAGAGAAGACGTGCCTAGAGAAGAAACCGCTTAAGCTCCTGGGAGTTAAGGAGGGTTTCATGGAAGCCACTTTTGATTTGGGTCTTTCAAGTTGACTGTGAAGAGGTGTGAGGGAAGGGCGTTCCTGGCAGAGGGAATGGCATGTGCAAAGCTGTAGGGGCATGGAAGTATACAGCAGCTTTAAGTTTGGTGAGTATCGCAGTCTGGTTGGAGTGTAGACTGTATGTAGCTGTGATGTTTGGACCAGCCTCATGGCATCATCACCTGGGGGCTGTTACAAACCCAGAGTCTCATTACCCCCACCTGGCCTGCATTTCACAGGATCGTCAGGCAAGGTGTGTGCAGGTGCAGCCGAGGCACGCTGGCTTAGAGGGCATGCTGAAGAGAACAGCTCAGAAAGGCAGGTTGCAGCCAGTCCCTGAAGGGTCTTGGCTGCTGGGTCAAGTCTGGGTGGGATCAGGTAGGCTGTGGGGAGCCTCTGCGGGGTTTTTAATCCAGGGAGTGCCTTGCTCACATTTGTGATTCACAGAGATAGCTGTAGGGGCCTATGGAGGAGGTTGGGGTATTGGGCACAGCATTGCTCTAGGGACTGTGCCCCTCCCTGCTGTGTGGCTTTAGGCAGACAGCTCCATCTCTGAGCACAGATTAGGAATAAGCTCCTACCCCTTGCAGGGTTGTAAGGCTGGAGACCGGGCCTCGCCCAAAGGAGCGGGTCTGTGGGTGGCAGAGGATGTTTGTCCGTGTAGGTTGTCAGGGCTATGACGGGAGTCCTGTAGCCGTGGGGGTGGTGAAGAGGGAATTTTGTTACAAGGAAAAATACATCACAACCAGGAAAAAATGGATAGACTCACAGAAAATAAAGAGCTTAGAGACCAAGATTTCTGCTTCTGTTGCCAAAGATGGATTCAGGGCTATCAGCTGGCCACTGCTTTCTGTCCTTCTCCCCTAATGGGTCAGGAACAAAGGCCTAAAACATTGGCACCCCACTTGTAGGGCACCTCACCTCCAGCTGGAGGGGCTCTGGGGCAGGCTCCAGTTCTAGGTCTTCTCAGACCTAGAAGGAAGGAGGGCCCCACTGTGGGCAGGCCTGACCTATCTGTGGCCCCCTTTGGGCCTAGCCGCTCACCAAGTCCGCTGTCCCCTGGATCTCCCCAGGGTGGCCCCATTGGGGGAGGTCTCCTCTGAGGCCTCATGGACCTGCAGATGTGCCTGTGGCCTCGAAGTGCCTCTTTCATCCCACCCTGCATGAGGCATCTTTTCTGAGCAGTTTCTCGAATGCCTTCGGCCTTCTGGGTCTCATCACGCATGTCATTCCAAAGGCGGGCGCCATTGTGTTCCTAAAGCATCCATATTTCCCAAGTTTCCTTCCTCCCAACAGCCCAGAGAAGGCCTCCTGGGGTCTGAACTTGGGTTCTGTCTGTGGCGGCAGCCTTGGGTCTTAGCCAGGAGGCCCAGGAGATGATTGACAAGTCAGAGCTGAGAAGCGAGTCAGCTCAGGCCTCTGAGAAACAGTATGCTGGACCCTGGAGCGTCTCACAGAATGGAGTGGATCCCAGAATCCCAGTCTGGGGTGATGCTTCGAGTGGGCACATGCTTTCCTGCCTGGCGGGGCAGAATCCTGCCCGAGCCTGACATTGTGGGTGGTTTAGTAAAGTCTTGTTTTCTCTTGCCAAGGCCTAGTGAGGGCTTGTTTGCTTCAGCTGCTCTGGGACCCCGATCCCTAGAGAGTGACCCTGAAATGCATGGAAGTGGGGGTGAGGAAGAGCCGGTTACTGGTTAGTTTCTCAGCCCTGAGTGGAGCTGAGGGTGGCGGAAGGAGCAAGTGACTTCCTGGGCCTCTGGCCTGGTGGCCTCACTTCCCCATCCCTACATCCTGGACTGCCGAGGTCAGCACCGAATCCACACTCCATACATGCTATGAGATAGTGACGGTGTTCTCGTTTTTTTAAGCAAGGTGGACATAAGCTAAGTTTGAATCGTATAATAGGAAATCCCATTGAAAAATGTTTTTAAAGTTTGTTTATTTTTGAGAGACAGAGAAAAATAGCATGCGTGGGGGAGGGGCAGAGAGAGAGGGAGACACAGAATCTGAAGCAGGCTCCAGGCTCTGAGTTGTCAGCACACAGCCCGACGTGGGGCTTGAACCCACGAACTGTGAGATCAAGACCTGAGCCAAAGTCAGTCACTCAACCGACGGCGCCACCCAGGCACCCCAGGAAATCCCGTTTACAGAGGAGGAAACTGAGGCTCCCAGGGCTGGTCTGAGCCAAGTCCCCTCACGCATCTCTTCCTGAAAGCCCTAGCTGGAGGGGCTGTCCTGTCTTGGGTGAAGTCTGCCACCACCTCCTGGGGTTCCAGCCGTCCTAGAGGGCTTTGTCTTTTCAGAATCGGTCAGCATTCAGACCTGTTCTGGCGGCCAGGGTGGATCAGAGGCAGGTGTGGGGAGGAGGTGACTTCAGGGCCCTGCCCGTGTTGACACACTGGGGGTCAAGGTCTCTCCCCCGCCCCCCCCCGCCCCCTCCCCGGGCTAGGTGGCTTGGTCCCTGAATGGCACCTCGTGGGTCTCTGCAGACGTGTGGGCCAACGTGAAGGTGGAGTGCGAGCCTAGCTGGCAGCCTTTCCAGGGCCACTGCTACCGCCTGCAGGCTGAGAAGCGAAGTTGGCAGGAGTCCAAGAAAGCGTGTCTGCGGGGCGGGGGCGACCTGCTCAGCATCCACAGCATGGCCGAGCTTGAGTTCATCACCAAGCAGATCAAGCAAGGTGAGTGGCTGCTCGTCCACGCACCTGGGGCGAGGGCCGCGCCTTCCCAGTGCCCGTCCTGTCCTGCCCAAGAGGCGACGGGACTGTCTGTCTGCTGCTGCTGGCTGAGGCTGACCTCTCTGTCTTCTCTCCCGTCGGCCCTGCTGTATCCCAGAGGTGGAGGAGCTGTGGATTGGCCTCAATGATTTGAAGCTGCAGATGAATTTTGAGTGGTCTGATGGGAGCCTTGTGAGCTTCACCCACTGGCACCCCTTTGAGCCCAACAACTTCCGGGACAGCCTGGAAGACTGTGTCACCATCTGGGGGCCGGTGAGAAGCCCCTCTCCCCACCCTCCTGGTGCTACTGTCCGCTTCTGCCTTGATACCCCCACCCCCATGGCCTCTCGGAAGCCCCCACTTCCCCACCAGCCCTTTCCCTTCCGTGTGCAGAGATTGCAAGGATTTGAATCCTCCCCACCCCCAACTAGCTGGGTCACTTTGGGCAAGTTACTTAACCTCTCTGTGCCTTGGTTTCCTCATCTGTCAAAGGAACACTAACAGTGGAAACCTCAGGGGGTCATTGAGAGGATTAAAGGAGTTAATTCTCGTGAAGCCTTAGGAAGTTGCCTGGCATGATCTTGGTCTACCAGCTGCTCTTCCCTAACGGCAGGTGGCATCAGAAGCCACGTTTTGTGGACAGGCTCCATTGGCACGGCTGCTCTGTAGCCAGCCCTACCCAGCCCAGGGTCCTGTCTCCTCAAAATATTATGGGGTGATGACTGTTTGCCGTGGTTTGGGCTCAGATGCAGTGTGGGTAAATGAAGGAATTGATGTAGGGCTTCAAGCAAAGAGAAGAGACCCTTAAAAAAGTGACCAAATCACAGGGACAGAGTACAGACTCCAGGGACAGATAGGACATTCTGCTGTGAGATACTGCAAAGCAGTGCCAGGACTAGAGACAGAGCCATCTGGCATAAGGGATGCTATTTAAAAATATACAAACAGTTGTTTGTTGAGTGTCTGCCACGTGCCAGGCATTCTCCTGGGGACTGGGACGCAGACACCTCTGCCCTCTGTTGGAGCTAAAGGCACACAAAGTGCTGGCTGGGAGACTGGGGACACGGGACAATCTGGAACACAGAGAGGACAAGCCTCTTGCTCAGAATCACACAACAAGTTGGAGGCGGGAGCGGGTCTAAAAATCAGGTTCACCGAAGGGTTTGGGGGCGGGTGGGGGGTTGGCGGCTGAGACTCTCCCTCATCCTGTGTCCTTAGGAAGGTCGTTGGAATGATAGTCCCTGTAACCAGTCCCTGCCGTCCATCTGCAAGAAGGCAGGCCAGCTGAGCCAGGGGGCAGCCGAGGAGGACCATGGCTGCCGGAAGGTGAGGGAGCTGCCCTTGTGTGGGGCCGACCAGAGGGGGGACTCCTGGGGGAGGGAGGGGACAGCCCCCCCCCCCCCGCATCCTCCCATCCTTCGCACATCCCTTCCTCCTGCTTTCCCTATGGCTCTGTTCCAGAAGGAGTGACATTGGATAATGCAGGGTGGGGGTAGGGTGGGGGCTGTTGGGAGGAAGCAGAGCTCCCCACCCCCACTCTTTTTGGGAAAGCCGCTTCTCAGAGGCAGCAGAGAACAGGAGGTGGGTGTGGACAGGCCCCCAGGCCCTCACCGGAGTGAGGCTGCACGCCCCCGCCCCCAGCTCTGTCTCTGCCGGCAGGACTGCCCGTGTTAGGGGGGCAGTGCATGTGTGACTGAGCGGCCCATGTCCTCCCGGACTCCCCACAACCTGGGCCTCAGCCAAGCAGGGGTGTACGTGGTGTGGATGAATGTGGGGAGGTTACTCAAAAAAGGCCCTTTAAGGTGTTTTGGCCCCTGGTGGCTCCATCTGCTGAGGCCACGTTCCTGCCAGCCCCTTGCTGCCGGTCTGGCTCCTCGCCCCGTTTTCCTTTCGATTAAGCCCGCTTACCACACCCCCACCTCACATGAACCCCAAGTTCTCCCCCAGGGGAGGGGCCCGAAACAACAACAGGCATGACCTGCAGTGGGGAGGAGAGAGAGCAGACGGGCCCCGCTGAAGCATATGGGGGAACGGCACGGGCAGAGACTAGCCCAGGGCTCTGTCCTGGCTTGGGTGAGGTGGGGGCAGGGAGAGAAGAGGCGTGACTAAGGGCCCCGGCACCAGGGCTGCCTGAGATGTCCGTGCAGTGTTGAGCAGCCCCGGTTCACACCCTGGGAGAGCCGGGGTCTTAGCATAGCCTTCCCCCCGCCCCACCAGCTTCTCTTTTGCTCTGGCTCCTGCCCAAGGGGCTGTAACTTTCTCCCAACCTTGAACCCACCCCAAGGCTTCCCATCTCAAGAGCTCCTGGAGATGAAGGCCTTGGGAGGCATCTTGTGTCGTCTTGGGATGGAGCAGGGCTGCCCTGGGGACAGGAGCAGCCTTTGTGGTGTGAGTTCAAGTGTGAGCTCCACCTTGTACTGTCTGTGTACAAAGTCCAGTCACTTCATTTCTCTGAGCCTCAGCTGCTGTTGTGAAAGGCGGGAGCAGAGAGCTCAGGGTGGCCCAAGGGGGGCGGGAGGTCTGTTGGGTGAAGACTCGGCTGGTCTCGTGGGGGTTGGGTGGTAGAGGACCAGCCCCTGAGGAGCTGTGTTCTCTTCCAAAGCTTCGCTGCTCCTCGCTGAGGGTCCGCGCCCCAGGCTAGCTGCCTCCTCCGCTCACTGAACCTTTTCCAGGACCCGAGGATTACCCAGCCCTTCCGCATGCTGGCATCTCTCCCAGCTTTTCAGTTCTGATTTCGCAGCCAACTGGCAATTTTCCCACCGTGACTCTTTGTTTAAATGCCCGAGACAGGAGTCCAGCGGGCCGCCCATCGTTCCTCACCAGCCCACAGGCGGGTCACTGGCTACCTCCAGAGTGGCCGCCCTTGGGCCGTGCTTCTACCTCTGGTCTGGCCATTGTGGCTACTGGTAGGGAGTGGGGATGTGAAGTGATAAGGTGCAGAACACAGCACAGGAAGAGCCGTCTCTGGTGTCAGACCAGTCTCCTCTGTCCTGTGCCCAGGCCTGTGGCACATTCAGTGATGCCACGGATGGCATCCCCCACCCCAAGATTTATGGCTGAGGGAGGAGAGTCCTTCTCACAGACGTCCCTCTTCTACCCGCTCTCTCGAGCCAGGGTTGGACGTGGCACAGCCCATCCTGCTACTGGCTGGGAGAGGACCAAGTAAGCTACAGTGAGGCCCGGCGCCTGTGCACCAACCACGGCTCTCAGCTGGTCACCATCACCAACAGGTACAGACCGGGGCGTGTGCCCAGACCAGCCCTCGACGCCTGTCTTGATGCCTAATGTGGGCCCTGCACCAAACAGGTGGCATTGTAACATTAAGCACAGAGGGACCTGAGTCCTTGAAGCCTCAGATGGCTTTAGGACCTTTTTCTATTATTGTCACAAGAATGGTTCCCGTTTATTAAGCGACCCCAGTGTAGGGCAGGGCAGGGGCAGCAACAGGTGTAGATGTGGGCTGGATGCCCAAGAGAGGCCTTGGCTGTGTCTGATTTTCTTTCTTCTCAGCAAGGCACGGAGGTGCAGGCAGTAAGCAGGGAGCTTGGTTGCTGTATGTCAGCCGTAGGGTCCCCATGGGTCCCTCAGGTTACTGGTTGGGGGGTGGGCAGGGCATCGGGCCTGTGGTCCAGGGAGTGGTCGGGGTGAAGGCAAGCTCCCTGCCTGACCAGCTTCTCTGCTACAGGTTTGAGCAGGCCTTTGTCAGCAGCCTCATCTACAACTGGGAGGGAGAGTACTTTTGGACGGCCCTGCAGGACCTCAACAGCACCGGCTCCTTCCGCTGGCTCAGCGGGGATGAGGTCATGTATACCCACTGGAACCGGGACCAGCCTGGTGAGCCCCTCCTGCACTGCACTTGGCCAGCCCCTTCTCTGACTTTCCTTGGTGAAGCCAGGAGGCCGTAGGCACCTGCCCCGCTGGGACCGAGTCCCAGGGCTTCCCAGCAAACTGATCGTCGGTACAGCATGGAGCAGTGGTGAGGGACACAGGCTCTGGGGCCAAATCGCCTGGTGCGTCTTTGAGCTTCAATTTCTCCTCTGTCAAATGAGGATAATGGTACTTTCCTCATAAGGTTGGTGTGAGGCTGAGACGGATTAATAGATGTGAAGTGCTTCATTATTAGATGGGACACGAGCACAGGAGCTCACTATTAGGATTATTGCCATTTCACATTCGGTATCGTTTGTAGCCTTTTCAATTCCCCGACGAGACAGATGGTCAGACAGCCTCAGAGTAGTTAAGTGACTTGCCTAAGATCTCACACAGGAGTAAACACAGAGCCGGGACTCTGCCTCCATTCCCTTCTGGGTCCCTGCTGACGGCCGAGCTGGTCACCCAGTGTGCGGGGCGAGACTGGGGTGGTGCCCTGTGGGGAGGACTGGGCCATGAGTCCTCAGCAGACGGGTCTCTTGCTCCCTCCTCCAGGGTACAGCCGTGGGGGCTGCGTGGCCCTGGCCACGGGCAGTGCCATGGGGCTGTGGGAGGTGAAGAATTGCACCGCGTTCCGGGCCCGCTACATCTGCCGGCAGAGCCTGGGCACGCCAGTGACGCCCGAGCTGCCTGGGCCAGACCCCACGCCCAGCCTCACCGGCTCCTGTCCCCAGGGCTGGGGGTCAGACCCCAAACTCCGGCACTGCTATAAGGTAGGCAGCCTGCCGGCATGGGAGGAGGGAGAGAAACTGGAGTGAAGGAGCCGCACGCCTGGGGCGAGGGCAGCCCCAGCAGGGCCCAGGCCCCATCCAGGCAACTGGGCCCCGGGGACACTGTTTCTCCACAGCCACCTGCAGGCAGAGGTAATTTCCGATGACAATCTTGTCAGTGGAATGTCAGGTGTGGCACATAGTAGGTGCTTGATAAACATGTGAGGGATTGGAAAAAACAAACAAACATGGAGATAATCCATTTCAGATGTTCCCAAATGTTGGGGCTGGGCTATCTACATTTCATCATTATCTGGGCAGCTTGATAAAAATAAATGCCTGGGGCTGCCACTATGGAGAGTGGGGTTCACCAGGTTGGGACGGGGCCTGGTGCTCTAAACTTTAAATCCCTGCTGGGTTTGGGAGCCACTGATGTAGTCCAAGGTCTTTTATTACATGAGGAAGCTGAGTCCATGGAAGGGAGGGGACTGGCCCACAGTGCACTGTGGCTGGTTCAGGGGTCTGGGCAGGGGGTATTCTCTAGGGGCTGGCTGTGCCGGCTCCCCTCCCGGAGGCTCATTCTCTGATGCGCAGGCTTGTCTTAGCTAGCCTGCACCCCCATCCAGTGAGGCCCCAGCCCCCCTCCCACTGCTGTCATTGGAGGGCGGGCGGACCAGTGGGGACAGCTTGGACACCTGGACTTTGTTCCTATAGGTGTTCAGCTCAGAGCGGCTGCAGGACAAGAAGAGCTGGGTGCAGGCCCAGAGGGCCTGCCAAGATTTGGGAGCCCAGCTGCTGAGCCTGGCCAGCTATGAGGAGGAGCACTTTGTGGCCAACATGCTCAACAAGATCTTCGGGTACTGAGCCTGGGGCGGTGGTCTGCATGCACCTGTGTGGGCTCTTGGCTCTGCTGGGCAGGGGGCAGGGTAGGGCGCCCCCAGTGAGGCCTGTCCAAGGGCTGGGAATGACCTGTGTATCCGCAGCTAATGCCAGGACCATCCTGTCCTCCGTCAGGTAGTCCTCTTCTCCCTGGGATTGGAGACTGTTGCTCTCCAGTGTCAGGGAGCCAGCAGTGGCCCCTTCAGACTCCCACACCTTTACAAAAGTAACTATCCTCCCCATCCCTCTGCAAGCCAATCCAAGTAGAGCATCCCCCACCGCCCAACCATCCCGTATGGACCCACTGTCCTCAATAAACCGGGTTTCCTGAGAGAGAGGAGGACAGGAGCTACCAAAGTGAGCATCTGCTCATGGGGGTCCCTCCAGGACCCTGTGTCTGTCCTGTGGACCCCCCAGCATCCTATGACACAGAGCACCTATAATCCCTTAGCACGGGGAAAAGTCCAAATGGACCCAGGCTTCCTAAGATGTTAATTCCAGGGCCATGCCTTTTCAGCAAACATCAAGATTACATTATGTGACTAGTCATTACAGCTCTCGTTGATGGCTTCTCACCACATCTCAGGCACTGCACTAAACAGTTCATCACATTCAGTCTTTTCTTCAACCCTACGAAGTAGACATTATCACTGACCCTTGTGGGCTGATAGAGAAGTTGGGCCTGCTGTCACAGAGCTGCTCCCTGGGTGACCCTGGCCTGGAATCTACTTTTACCTGATTCCAGAGCCCCAGGTCTATGCTACATCCCCATTGATTTACTAAAGCCCTTAAGTGAAAGCCTCTGGAGCCTTGCTGGAAGGGCAAACCCCACCCGATGGGAGCCAGGCCACTTTCCCCCAGTGAGTTGGCCGCCTCGTCCAGCGGGCTCAGTTCTTCGAGGGTGAAGCCCAGAGGGAGAGGCCCCAGGCCCTTGGGATTGCTCCTCTCATCTCTTCTGTCCCCACCCCTGTATTGTGCTGAAGTGAATCAGAGCCCGAGATCCATGAGCAGAACTGGTTCTGGATCGGTCTGAACCGTCGAGATCCCGGAGCGGGGCAGAGCTGGCGCTGGAGCGACGGCTTGGGGGTGAGCCGGCCTGGAGGGGACAGGTCAGGCGGTGGGCGGGCCTAGGTGGGCAGGGCTCGATTAGAGACGTGGTCTTTCTGGGGCGGGACTGGACTTGGAGGTGGGCGAGGTTTAGCTGAGTTCGGGCATTTGGCCGACCCTGCAGGTAAAAGAAAGGGGGGTGGGGTGTCCAGCCCGGGTTAAGGGTTCCCAGCTCAGGCCGGGCCTGTGGTTCGTCTGTCCTGGGGACGCTGAGGCCTGCGCCCCGTGCCTGACCACCCTCTCGCACTCCCACCTCCAGTTCTCTTACCACAATTTTGACCGGAGCCGGCATGACGATGATGACATCCGGGGCTGTGCAGTGCTTGACCTGGCCTCCCTGCAGTGGGTGGCCATGCAGTGCGAGACGCAGCTGGACTGGATCTGCAAGATCCCTCGAGGTTGGGTGGGATGGCGCTGGGAAACGGGGGACGGGGCAAAGGGCGGCGGGGCCGGGAATCCAGGGGAGGGTCTTCTTTCCCTGCAGCGTCTCTATCCCTATTGTCTCTCTAGGCACAGACGTGCGGGAGCCCGACGTCAGCCCACAAGGTGAGGCGCCTTGCCCCCCACCCTGGGCTGTGTGGAGAAGGTGAGGGACGTCACCCACCCAGCAGGGCCTGGCTGAGGTGGAACGAAAGGAGTTAGGGATCGGAGCCCAGGGAAGGGGAATCAGGACGCCTGGAGCCCTGTCGACCTCCGTCTCTGAGCAGGGGCAAGCTTGGGCCTGGAGTGATTCCTGCCCCAGGTCCTAGCGGCTCGAAAGCCACCTGCTGCCTGCCCTTGGACGGGCCTTGCCCGCCGGGCCAGCAGGCAAGCCCCCCCCCCCCCCCCCCCCCCCCCCCCCCCCCCCCCGCTCCTCGAATGCTCACACTGCCCCCGCAGGCCGGCGGGAGTGGCTGCGTTTCCAGGAGGCCGAGTACAAGTTCTTCGAGCACCACTCCACGTG